GAGGAGGAGGAGGAGGAGGAGGAGGAGGGAGAAGGGGGAGGGGGAGGAATAGGATGAGGAGTGGTATGACGAAGGGAAGGGCAAGGGAGGGTGGGCGTCGAACGGGAAGGGAAGGGAGGAGAAGGGATGGAAGGGCAGCGGGGTGAGGACCTTCTGGATTTTCTTTTCGAGCTTGAACACGCGAACAAGCGAGAGGAGCTTGAGGAACTGCGGGAAGTTCAGCTCGGTCTGGCTCGAATGGTGGAACCTGTTGGCGGCGCCCACACGGGGGGTAGGGGGAGGGGGGAAGGCTTCTTAGAAGGAGGCTGCTCCTCAGAAGGTGCTGGCCTTACACTTGCAGACAAGGCCCGCGCCTTCTAAGAAGCACGGGTGCTTCTAAGAAGCCTTCCCCCCCCCCCCTACAGTAGGGGCCACAAGAAACCTTCCGCAAGAAACCCAACCCTGAATCCCCAGGACGTCCATCGTTTCCGTGGCGTGGGAACGTCGCGCTTGTCATCGCAAAACCATCGGAACCCAAGGAGGAGGAGGAGGAGGAGGAGGAGGAGGTGGAGCGTGGCCGAACCTGGCGGCGCTCGGCGTTGCCGACGGGCGGGGCGTGCTCCGCATGCCCGCCACGCGGTACGCGAGCTTGTCGCTCTCGGTGAGGGGGCTGGTGCGCCCCTGGCCGGCACGCGCGCAGCAGGCGTGGCCGGCCGATCTTCCACCACGTCCACCGCCGTGGGCAGGGCGGGGCCAGGAGGGGAGCGTGGGGAGCTCCTCCTCCTCCTCCTCCTCCTCCACCTCCTCCTCCTCCTCCTCCTCCTCCTCCTCCTTCCCCCGCTCCTGCCTATCGTAGCGGTGGTGGAAAATCGGCCCATCAAGGTCATTGCGGAAAAAATGGGCACGAGGCCCAGCAACAAATCCCTGAGATCCAGGCGGTACAGTCGTGGCACACCGGGCGATTTCGCCTGGCGTCGGGCCCCAGGTCCCTCACATATATGGACCCACCTCGAGAAATGCCGCAGGAGGGATGGGCTCCAGGGCCCGGGTGGTGATGTGTCGCGAGATGGCATTGTCTTCGCAACGTCGTTCGCCTGGCGTTGGGCCCCAGGTCCCTCACATATATGGACCCACCTCGAAAAATGCCGCAGAGGGATGGGCTCCAGGGCCCCCGGGTGGTGATGTTTCGCGAGGTTGCATTGTGTTCGCAACGTCGGATCCCAGGGAATGTGGTCCCAAACCGACAGCGGCCGCGGTGGGGCAGGCGACTCTCTGCCGCAAGTGGGCAGAGCCACGGCGGCTCAGGCAGCGAGTCCTCTTCAGCACGAGCAAGGGCTGCTGTCAATCTTCGTCCCCATCTTTTCCGTAGCTGTCTCGGTCGTACCGTCCTGAGCCTCCTCCATCCAGCTCTCAGGCCAGGACTCGGGACTGCGGTGGCCGCTCGGAGCGGGCTGGGGCACCCCTGGAACGCTCCCGGCGAGGAGAAGCGGGTGGAGAGCATCCCGGGGCTGAAAAAGCCCTGGAACTTCTGAAAACACCAGAATAGGGCGACGAGATCTATGCATATCCACTGCTCCTGGCCAGGCCAATCCTGGGCCCAGGAGCGGTGTATACGCCCTCCTGGCCTGGACAGGGAGGCATATGCACAGCTCCTGGGCCCAGGATGGGCCTGGCCAGGAGCAGTGGATATGCATAGATCTCGTCGCCCTACAGAAGCATCCCACCTCGAGGTTCCCATCGGGCCCCGCGATCCGAGGCCGCGGGCAGAAGCTCGCACGTCGCGGAGCAGCACCACGGGAGCCCCGGACCCCACCCTTGCTGCTGCAGCTGCCGAGCCGGGTCGATCGGTGAGGGCCCCGGCGCCCCAAGACCGGGCGGGAACGCACGGCGTGAAAAAAGTGCAGCTCCCGGGTGTCGGGGCTCTATATACCCAGAGATCCAACGTATTGAAAAAATCAAGACGGAGGTTTTTCTAAATTTTCGGCCTCTGGCGGCCCTCGCCGGGCCCCGGGACTGTCAAAAAACGACTCGGGATGAAAAACCGGTCCTGGGGAATGGGTCGAGACTTCTGGGGACCCCGTCCTGGAAAAATCACGACATCGGATCTCTGGGTAGCAAAATCCAAGCCACAGGCCTTGGCGGCGCTCCCAAGGGGTGGGGGGAGGGGGGAGGGCTTCTTAGAAGGAGGCTGCTTCTCAGAAGGCGCCGGCCTTACGTCTACAGACGAGGCCCGCGCCTTCTGAGGAGCAGGGGGTGCCTCTAAGAGGCCCCCCTCCCCCCACCCCCCCCTGCGCGTGGACGAAGGTCGGTCTAGCCCAGCGCCCAGACGGCGCACTGGCAGAAGAAGCGTGCGCACGCATGACTGCGGAGGAAGAGAGGAGGAAGGGACGAGCAGGACGGAGGGAGAACCAAAAACGCCACACTCGAGGCCGACGTTCTGGGAGAAGCTCACAAACGCAGGGGTCACACTGCTGTTTGGGTCTTCCCCTGCGCCGTGCCGGCTCTGCAATCCATTTCGGTCGTGCCGCCCATTCCCAGAGATCCGGCGTCGCGATGTCTTCGAGACGCGGGCCCCCGGCCTCTCGACCACTTCCGCGGGGCCGGCTTTTCCATCCCCAGTCGTATCTGGAAGGCCCCGAGGCCCAGTCGTGCCCCGAGTTTTGGGAGGGCCCCGAGGCCCCGGTTTTTCTCATCCCGAGTCGTAGCTGGAGAGGCCGAAGAACTCCGTCTCGATTTTTTCGGGGCGCCGGATGTCTGGGGCCGTGCCGACCTGAGCCTCCTCCATCATCTTCATCAGCGTCGGCCGATTCTCGGGCGCAGTGGCGACGCCAGGCAGCAGCTCCCCGATGAGGGCGACGAGCTCCTTGCTCTCGAGCGCGCCGCTGTTGTCGGAGTCGAACTGCCGGAACCGCCTCGCGAGGTCGCGGACGGCCTCGGAGGACGAAAGAGCGCACGAGCGAACGACGAACGAAGGAAAACGACGGGTCGGGCGCAGAAGCTCCCCCCGACGGTTCCCCGGCGGCCCCCCCAGGTGCCCCAGAGACCCCCGGAGGAGGAGGAGGAGGAGGAGGAGGAGGAGGAGGAGGAGGAGGAGGAGGAGGAGGAGGATGCGGAGTGAGGAGCAGGAGGAGGAGGAGCAGGGCAGGAGCAGGGAAAAGGAGGAGGAAGCATAAGAGGAGGAGGAAGCATAAGAGGAGGAGGAGGAGGAGGAGGAGGAGGAGGAGGCCACCCAGAGGTCCCCCCGAGGCTCCCTCGGAGACCGCCTGGAAAGGCCCTCCACCTCCCCCGGGCCCTCTGCCTCCCACGCCTCCCGACCAGCAGGGGGCGCACGGAGACGCACCGGCAGTGCTGCACGCTCTCCCGGGAGGCGGACGTCCGACCCAAACACATAGTATACGCATCTCGCAGTACAGTCGGGGCGTTGACCTAAGGAGCCCTCAATGGGGAACGAGGCCTCTTTTTTCCTCCTCCTCCTCCTCCTCCTCCTCCTCCTCCTCCTCCTCCTCCTCCTCCTCCTCCTCCTTCGGTTCCCCATCGAGAGCACGAGGAGAACCTGAGGCAAGCTGCGAGACACTTCTGAGGAACGCGGAGCCCCTCCCCCACGAAAAGGGTTCCTTCTTCAGCGACCCGACGGTCTATTGCTTCCCGAGCGGTGTGGCCAGAAAGCGCCCGCCACGACGCATGTAGTATAAGACTTCTCGGTGCGCGCGTCGCCCCCGCGGGGGCGACGCGCATACAGCATAAGTAGGCTGGGGTGACGCCGACAGCAGGCGGCTGATGTCGTGACTGTCTGTGAACTACGCGGTGGCACAATCATGAACTTCCGGGGCTCCGCGCGGACTCTTCGTGCCTCGGCCCTGGACCCCCCCCCCATCCCTGCCGCGCTGGACCCCCCCCTGGCAGCGCCAGCGGCGCCGCTCCTGGCTCGCTCTCTGCGCCAGGGACCGGGGCCCGGCGCAGAACCAAGAAACCAGCGCGGAGCTCCGGAAGCTGATGTTGATGCCAGCTGCTGTCCCCTGGAGGAGGAGGAGGAGGAGGAGGAGGAGGAGGAGGAGGAGGAGGAGGAGCTACGGAGATCACTCGATCGGCCATCCGCTGGTCGGAGGGTGAGGAAGGCGGCGGGTCAGGGCCCTCCCGTCGCGGAGGAGACCACGACGGGACGCTCTCCACAGCTTTCGGCTCCCAGGGGCCCCCGCTGGGCCCCGGGGCCGTCCAGAAGCCACGCGGGATGAGAAGCTGGCCCTGGGCAAAGGGGGGTCCAGGCCTCCACGGGTCCAGCCTGTGAGAAGGATCGCCTCGCGATGTCGCTGACGGCCCCGGAGGAGGAGAGCACGGCATCGGCATCAGCGCGCGGGCCTCGTTTCTCGACGTCGGCGCGGTTCGCAAGGTCGAGAGAGCGAGGGACACCCAAAGTTGGGGCCCCTTCGGGGCCCCAAATCTGGCCGAAGCCAGCGCCTTCCCCCGAAACACCGACCAGGGCATCCTATATGTGATGCCAATACAGTGGAGGCCAGTCCACAACAAACCTTCCACAAGAAACCCAACCCTGAGACCCCAGGACGTCCATCGATGTGTGGTGTGAGCACGTCACGCCTTCCATCGCAAAACCATCGAAACCCAAGAAACTCTGGGCACCCTGGAGGCAAGCAGGGTGTTTCTTGGCATGGGCCCCCGCCGTAAACTCTCGGAGGTCCGCGCGGACTTCTCCGATCGGTGCTGACTCCCTTTTTCCCTGCCGCGCGGAAAGCGCGCCGGGGGGCGGCGCACCGAAGTCGCCACGGGGGCGCCTCCGGCGCCGAGCCAAGAAATCCGCCCGGACCTCCAAAAGCCAGTCCTCACTCCGAGTTTCATGATAAGCGTCGGGGGGGCGCCACCCCCGCCGACAGCCCCACGTCGACCCCCGTCGCGGGCAGCCACCGCGCGCCAAAGGCGCTCCGACCCCCGTCGCAGCGCGACGACGAGGCGAGGTTGACCCCCGTCGGGGGAGTACCCCCCCACGCTTATTGAGAAGCCCAGAGTATGCATGTGTTTGTTTACCCGGAGCCTGCTCGGAGAAGCCGCTGTTGTTCTGTCGGAACAGCTGCTGCTCCTTCTCCAAGATGCGCGCCTCCCTCTGGAAGCCTTTAAAGTCTAGCGCGCCCATTGCTCGGACTCTGTTGATGTCGTCGACGGTATTTGACACGAGCCCCAGGCTAACAAAGGCCTTCCAAGAGTCGGTGATGCCGAGCCTGAAGTTGTCATGATCGAGGTGATCGTCGAAGGTCGCCCGCATCAGCTGAGCTTGACCTAACTGGTATAGCCTGATGAGCTTTCTGAACTCCATCTGGCTCAGCAGCCCGGAGCAGTCCAGGTCGACCTTGCTCACGAGGTACAGGAGCAGATCGGACCTCGGCCGCCGAACGGTGGCCAGACTCCATCCGACCCGTCGCCGTGGTTCGACACTCCGGCCGGCCAGGCCGCCACGCGGGCCCCCGACTCTGGCCGCGCGGATGCGCGCGCCCCGCGCCCCGCGGCGCGCGGCTGTCTGAGGTGCGCCAGCGGCCCGCGGAGAAAGCGAGGGCTCTGCGCCCCAGGCGGCGAAGCGCCCGAGGCGGCCCAGGTGCGCGCGGCCCTCGTGCCACCGTCAGGGGCAGCAGGGAGGAGGCGAAGGAGCTCTTCCGGCCAGGGGCGAGCCTCCGGGCACGGCGGGGCCCGCCGCCCGGGCTTCGAGGAGCAGCCGCAAGCCAGAGCCCCTCCTGAACCCAACGTGGTCCTTGGCTCCGCGTCCTGGCTGCATCTGGGTCCGTGCGCGGCAGTGCGCACGGATGCACGACTCCACGTGGTTTTTGGCCCACCCCGTGGCACGAGGGAGCGTGGAACGGGAACGGCGTTTCACCCTGACTGGGGGCGTCCGGGAGGGGGGCATCCAAGAGGGGGGTCGCGCAAATCATGGCTGGCGGCACGTGCGCGGCCCAGGTGGGGGCCCTGGGAAGAGCTGACATAAAAAAGAGGGCCGTGAGATCTGGGGAGATTTCATGGCCCAGACCGTGCCGGAGGAGGAGGAGGAGGAGGAGGAGGAGGAGGAGGAGGAGGAATCCCCCCCCCAAGTCATCACCACGGCCCCGAGAGGTGCCGAGGAGGCCCCAGGAGGCCCCCAAGAGTCCCCAAGGATGTCCCCAAGAGGCTTCCAAGAGATCCCCAAGAGGCCCCAAGAGGCACCCAAGAGGCCTCGGTGAGAATACCTGAATTATTGATGTAACGAAGGTGTTGGTCACATTATGGCCTTTGGGGGGGGATTATAATGTACTAATGCCCCTCCTTTGAGCGATCTCCTCCTAGATGGCCCAACGATGGCCCCCGATGCTCCCAAGGGCGCCCCAAGACGGCCCCGAGAGGTGCCGAGGCCCCAAGAGGCCCCAAGAGGTCCCGAAGATGCCCCCAAGAGGCTCCCAGGAGACCCCCAAGAGGCCCCAAAAGGCTCCCCAGAGGCACATATGACGCTATGACGCCACAAGAGGCACCCGGGAATTCCAAGCGACCCCCAAGACACCACAAGAGGACTCCACGAAGCTCTCCGACGAAATCCGAAGAGACTCCGAGAGGCATCCGAGAGGCTTCTGGCCTTTCTGTTCGCCCTCCTCCTCCTCCTCCTCCTCCTCCTCCTCCTCCTCCTCCTCCTCCTCCTCCACCTCCTCCTCCTCCACACCTTCCTCCTCCTCCATATCTTCCGCCTCCTCCTCCGTAGCCATCTTGGCTCATGTCTGTCCGTAGCCCCCCCCCCTGGTCCTGGACCCTGTCCCCCGGCGAACCCTGCGACCCCAGCCCTGTGGGGCAGGGCAGCGGGCGTGAGGGATTTGGGGGGACTGGGCTCGTGGCTCGGCTCGCACCACGATGGGAGGAGGAGGAGGAGGAGGAGGAGGAGGAGGAGGAGGAGGAGGAGGAGGAGGAGGAGGAGGAGGATGATGGGAGGGGAGAGGAGGAGGAGAGGAGGAGGGGGAGGAGGAGGAGGATGAGGAGGGGGAGGAGGAGGAGGAGGAGGAGGGAGGAGGAGGAGGAGGAGGAGGAGGAGGAGGAGGAGCCTGGCTCGTGGCTCGGCTCGCACGATGGTTTCGGGGGGCCGCCCCGCGCGGTGGCGGCCCGCCCGCTCGCTGGAGGCCGAGCTGCTCGCTCGCTGCGGCGGCTCCGCGGGCGGCCCGCCGCCGAGCGCCGCAGGCCTTGCGAGGCTAACCGACGGCGTGCGCGGGCTAACCTGGGTGCTGCGCCGCCTGGCTTGCAGGAGGTGAAGGAGGAGGAGGAGGAGGAGGAGGAGGAGGAGGAGGAGGAGGAGAAGGAGGGAGGAGGACGTAGGGGGAGGAGGGGAGGAGGAGGAGGAGGAGGAGGGGGGGTGGAGGAGGAGGAGGAGGAGGAGGAGGAGGAGGTAGGAGGAGGAGGGGGGGAGGAGGAGGAGGAGGAGGAGGAGGAGGAGGAGGGAGGAGGAGGGGAAAAGGAAAAGGAGGGGAAGCAGAATGAGGATGGAGGTGAAAGAGGAGGAGGGAGGAGAGGAGGAAGGAGACGAGGAGGAGGAGGAGGGAGGAGGGGGGGAGGAGGAGGAGGGGAGGAGGTAGGAGGAGGAGAAAAAGAAGGAGCCAGGGGGAGGAGGAGGAGGAGGAGAAGGAAGAGGGAGGAGCAAGGAGGGAGCAGGAAAGCAGAAAGAGGAGAGCAGAAAGAAAGAGGAGGGGAGGAGGAGGAGGAGGGGAGGTGTGTGCAAGGAGGAGGAGGAGAGGTGGGGAGGGAGGTGGAGGAGGAGGAGGAGGGAGGAGGAGATGGAGGGGAGGAGGAGGAGGTACGAGGAGGAGGAGGAGGATGCGGTAGGAGGAGGAGGAAGGCAGGAGGAGGTGGAGGAGGGGAGGAGGGAGAGGAGGAGGAGGAGAGGACGAGGAGGAAGGTGGGAAGGCGAGGAGGAGGAGAGGAGGCAGGAGGTGGAGGGGAAAAGGAAGGAGGAGGCAGGTGGAGGCGGAGGAGGAGGAGGAGGGGGGGGGGAGGAGGAGAGGAGGAGGAGGAGGAGGAGGAGGAGGAGGAGGAGGAGGAGGAGGAGGAGCAGGAGGAGCAAGCGCAAGAAGAGGAGGAGGAGGAGAGGAGGAGGAGGAGGAGGAGGAGGAGGAGGGAACGACGTCGAGGAGGAGGAGGAGGAGGAGGAGGACGACGAGGAGGAGGAGGTGGACGAGGAGAGGGGAGGAGGAGGAGGAGGAGGAGTGGGGAGGAGGAGGAGGAGGAGGAGGACGAGAAGGAGGAGGCGGAGAGGAGGAGGAGGAGGAGGAGGAGGAGGAGGAGGAGGAGGGGAGAGGAGGGGAGAGGAGGAGGAGCAGGAGGAGGAGGAGGAGACGGAGGAGGAGGAGGAGGAGGAGGAGGAGGAGCCTGGCTGGTGGCGCGACCGCGAGCGGGCCGCCCGCCCAGCACTGCAGCTGGCGGCCCTCGGCGAGCGCGCGCCGGGACGTTCGCAGCGCCGCCGCAGCGTCGCGCGGCACGCGTCCCGCCCCAAGGCTTTTCGCACAGGCCGCCGGCGAGGAGCTCCGATGGGCTGCCGCAGGGCCCCTCCTGGAAGCTGCCCTCGGCCTCGAGCCCTGCAGCGAGGATGCCGTGGGGAACGTGACGGGTCTCCAGGCGCCCGTCGACGTCCTCCCCGACGGCCCCGCCCCTGGCCACCCCGCGGCCGCGCAGGGTCGGCCCACAGGGATGCGGGAGGCAGCCCCGCCCTGCGTGCCTGCCGCGGGGGCCCAGCGCACAGGGCTGCGGGAGGCGGCCCCGCCCTTCGTGCCTGCCTCGAAGGCTCAGCTGCGAGCGGCGGAGGGGGCGGAGGACAAGGCGCGATGCGGCCGCTGCTCGTGCGGTGCCGTGGTCTACGCATTCTCTTCGCTGGGCCGTCCACTGCGGGACGCGCGGTGGGGCGATGCGCCGCGGGCCGCTCGCCTCGCCCGACGGCCGCGGCAGCTGTGCAGACGGACAACCACGGGTTCATGTTTTCGAGCGTCGCCGTACGCGACGACGCTGCCGCGGAGGACATGCCCGCGCCGTGCACGCCGTGGCCGAGGGCCCAGACGCGGCCCCAGGACCTCTCCCCCGGGAAGGAGGTGAAGGAGCCGAAGCCTGCCAGTGGCCCTTCCTGGCTGGCAGCGGGCGGGCCTGACATTGCTGCGAGCCTGGCCCAGGGCATGGCTGCAATTGCCGCGCGCTGCCCGCCACCGTCCAGCAGCCCCGACGAGGAGCGCTGCCTCGCGTCACTCCGCAGCCAGTGGACTCGCACCCTCATCGATCTCCTCGTGGAGCGCAGTGCGGCGGTCGACCCAGCCGACGGCTGCGAGCAGGACCGCTACGACGAGCTCGAGGAAGACATCCAGAAGGCGCAGCTCGTTATCTAGGAGATCGGCAGCGGCGTGTTGCCCCAGAAGATCCAGCTGTACACCCCGTAGCCCCTCGGCGGGCCGGCCATGCGCGCCCGAGGTGCTGGGGCTTCTTGTCGGGTCTCTGCCCGAGCCTGCTTGCGTCGCCGTGCACGCCTGCAGTCGCGCCTGGCTAAAACTCCTCCTCCTCCTTCTCCTCCTCCTCCTCCTCCTCCTCCTCCTGCTCCTCCTCCTCCTCCTCCTCCTCCTCCTGCTCCTCCTCCTCCTCCTCCTCCTCCACATCATCATCATCATCCTCTTCCTCCTCCTCCTCCTCCTCCATCATTCCTTTTCCTTATACATAGCTCCTCCCTGTCGCACCCAGAGGATGGTCGAAAGGGCGGGCGGGGCGTTTCGCCTGAGAGTTCCTCACAACTTATGACCCTGAAGCTTCGAAGCTGGCAACAGCTTCAAAGATGGAGGGCGGGTCGCGTCCCAAATGTGGTTCTCGCCTTAGCGCCGCGCACATTCGTTTGAAATCTTTGCAAGAGGTTCACGGCTTCAGGGCGGATCGTTTTCAAAATGTGGCTCTCGCCTCAGCGCCGCGCGCGTTCGCTTGTTTTTTAATGCACGAGCTTCACAGATTGAGGGCAGTTTCTTTTTGAATGTGGCTCTCGCCTTAGGGCCGCGCACATTCGTTTTAAACACTTGCAAGAGTTTCACGGATTCCCATGGCCAACGTGCCAGAAATGGTGCTTTGAACGGACTCAGGACTGTGAGGGCGCAACGGCGCAACGGTTACGTTGCTTCGCAATGTTGAAGGCCCAGGAAAGGTGTTCCGGTACGATTCCCGATCGTCAAGACGCAACAAATCATGTTGATTCGTGGCGTTGGAGTCACGAGAATGGTGCTCTGGCACGCTTCAAGGTCTTCAAACAATTCTCCCAACAGGGCAGGTCCCTCCGTGGAATTGCACCCTTTGCAGGGGCCAGTGCAGAGGGAGCTCGGAGGGTTTATTCCAACATCGTTGATGAGTCTTGGGTTTCCACTGGTCCTCCTCCTCCTCCTCCTCCTCCTCCTCCTCCTCCTCCTCCTCCTCCTCCTCCTACCTCCTCCTCCTCCTCATGGCACCTGGCACCTGCTGGCATCTGCCTCCTGACGCTGCCCGCTCTTCCTCCTCCTCCTCCTCTCCTCATCCAGCTGTTCCTCCTCCTTCTCTCCTCCCTCCTCCTCCTCCTCCTCCTCCCTCTGTCCCCCCCCTCCTGCTCCTCATCCTCCTCCTCCTCCTCCTGCTCCTCCGATTCCTCCTCCGATTCCTCCTCCATCCTCCCCCTTCTTGGGGTAGGATGTCTTACCCAGCCCTTTATTACAGTGCATGCTCCTCCACATCCTTGATCAGGGCAACTCGGCTGGGCATCGTTTCTGGATGGCTGGTGGAGTCACGCGAAGCGTCTAGAATTATCGTGAGACCTCCGGGCACCCAACGAGGAACAAGGACACTCACCAAAAATCCAAAGGGAATCCGAAGGAGCAGGAGCATGAACTCAAGGAGGACGAGAAGGAAACAGAGAGAGAGAGAGACGAAAAGGAGAAGCACGTCGGCCCGCGTGAACATAAGCAACCATGATTGTGATCCCTGTCGAGACATGGATTCTCCCAGGGGTGCCCTGCAGGGAAGCCAACGAACGGACCAGCATCCCACCCCAGCGAGAAATTCTTCACCAACGACCAGCTGCACAAAAAACGTGTTAAACATAGTACAGGTATCAACACGACTGCGACTACTAAACAACAGAAGCATACATACACCGATAGATAAAACAAGTCTGTACACACATGTATACACAACTTCAAACATATGTAGATTCGCACACGCATACCTATAACGATTACGTCTAGCACCTAGCTAATGGAAGTAAAATTCGCATACAACATACAGTCATCATCACCAGCAACAAACAACAGCAACACCAACAACAACAACAACAACAACAACAAAAGTCGCAACAACAACAACAACAAAAGCAGCAGCAACAACAACGACAAAAACCACAACCACAACAACAACAACAACAACAACAACAACAACAACAATCATTTTACCCGAACGCGTGGTGTTCTCCCCAGTGCCAGGGTTTTCATACGACACCAGGCAATACCCCCACTTCGTGGGGGGGCATTACAAGCTCTACCAAATATCCAAACGACTCTTCGCGACCACCCAAACCCAGCTTCCCGCCCTATGACGTTGGGACACTTCACTTCGTGGCGTGCGGACGACCGTGGCTACTACACTGGCGTGGGGTACACACCCACAGAACTTGGTCACTTATTCGGGGCGCGCATGTGCCCAGCATGGTGCAATTGTGCCATACAATACTTAATACAGAGAGACGAATGTGTCCCGCATGGTATTATTTGACAGGGATGATGGCCCTGGCAGGTGCGCAACCGTTGTCGCAGAAGTTCGAAAAAGTTGCTCGCAAAAGCCCGTTTGACAGAAATGTTGAAAAAGAGTTGGGTTTCCTACGAATCCGCAAGAGCGCGCGGGATGAGATTTTGACATTTTTTTGTTGAAAAAACCATTGGTTTTTTGATGTTTTTATGTTAAAATCGCTCCGAACACTAAGCTTTTGGAAGGATTTCGTCTTGCGCGCGCGAATGTCCACTTTACCTTATTTTTTGCAAGGGATTCTTGAAATTTGATTACATTTGAACAAGAAATTTCATTTTATAGTGTTTTTTGCAAGGGAAAGCGGGGGGAACAAAACAACCGGATCTGGACCCCATCGTTTTACCTGAGGCTTCCCTGAGGCTTCCTCACGAAAATGATGAAAATGTAGCTGCGGCCTAGGCGCGGCGGGGGGGGCGTGCACCAGGGGGCCCAACAATAATTATTCTTTAGAATTAATAATGTTCAACAACAATCAGTTTAAGACTGATCGATCTTACCTGTACGCGTGCCAGTCAACACGTATGCCCCACCAAACCCTCGGCACCCGCCCCCCTTGGGGGTCTGTCTTCCTTAGCTGCCACGCGTATTTGGCGCAGCCCCCAAAGCAGGGAAAGAGAGGCCAGATGGAAGGAATGGACAAGGATGGAAGGAGAAAGATAGATCACGAGAGAGACTAGCAGAAGGGGGATAGGTACAGAAAACACCACGTCGCAGAACCAGACGGGCAGATCGGGCGGGTAGACCCTAGCAGGCGGGTCGGCAAGGCGGGCCCAGGCGGCCAGGTCGAGCAGGCGGGTTGCTGAAGCGTGAGCCCTGCATGACTCGCGAGAGAAAGCAGCGAGCGATAGCGCGATTCCCAAGTAAATCGCGATACAGGCCAGAGCGAGAGCATAATTCCTGAGTGTCGAGGGCGCGGCGTCTGCATAAATTGCAAGGAAGTCCCACACGAGAGCGCGATGTCTGCATAAGTTGTGAGGAAGTCCTGCGCGAGAGCGCGAGTTTGGAATACATGGTGAGGAAATATTCAGGTGGAGCCAACAACGCATTCTGAGCCCCAAGACTTTCCCTTGTAAAAAACCCAGTGCCAGCCCCGGGGGGAACACGTTAAAAGAACAACACAATGGGCACCAGGGCGGGGGGGGGATCAACACCATTGTTCTTTAGGAATACGAACTCAACAACAATAATCGTTTTAGGACTGTTCGCGTTTCGGCGCTCACGTGTCATTCAACATGTGTACTCAAACCCTCCATGCCCGCCCTCTTCGTCTTTGATCGTGCCCCTTTGGGGGTCACATCTTCCTTCTCTGCCACGCGTAATTGGCGCAGCCCTTGAACACAGGAAGAACAGAAATGATGGAACAGGGAAGGAGCGAGGAGGACGGGAGTGGAGGCAGGGAGGGGGGAGCGAAGGGGGCAGGCGGGAGGGAGAAGATGGAGGACGAGAGGGATCAGCAGGAGGGGATGGCAAGGAAGTCTCCGGCGAGAGCGGGGTTCAAGAGCAGATCATGAGGACGCCCCGAGCGAGAGCGGGATGCCAGAGCGCCAGAAGCGCGATTCTTGAATTGTGAGGACGTCTCAGGCGAGAGCGCGACTCCTCGATAACTGCAGGAAGCTCCGAGCTGGAGCGCGATTCTTCAATAGACTGTGAAGGAGAATTGGGCCGATGCCGTGAATGCGATGTTTGTAAGCCGGGGGCCAGAGGCACAGTCCGAGGCCCAAGGCTTTCCCTCGTCAAAAAACAAGTGCGGGCCCTGGGGGGAGCAATTCCATTGAAAAGCACAAGGTGTACCAGAGGCGGGGATCCGCAGTAGTTATCCTCTTCTTCTCTAGAGATGACAACTCAGCAACCACAAAAAGAAAACCCAAATGACACAGATTAGGAAGCCAATTGAGAGCCAACGGGAAATCAAGATTCACCCTTCCTGCCCCCCGCTCGCCCCCCTCCTCCTCCGCCTCCTCCTCCTCGTCCGTCCCTTTCCTGGGGGGCGCACAGGGGATCTTGGTTAACGGGCCTCTGCGCGACATAGTCATCGTTTTCGCCCTGGCCCTGGTGGTTTTCGCCCTGGCCCTGGTGCTGGAAGCGTTCTGATCTCGCTGATCGGGTAGGGGGAGAGGGTTTACTAACTGCTTTCCCAGGGTGATGCATAGCGAGTCCCTGAAAGATCAACCCCAGGACCGCATTCAAGCCTGACTGGCTTCGAACCCAGCCACTGACTTCGGACCCAGCTAGCTTCTGACCCAGCCGTCGTCATCGTCGTCGTCTGGTTGCCCAGCCGGCCGGTGGAGGACCTGAGCGAAAGCCCCACGGCGAGGAGTGCCTTGTCGATCTGGGCGACTTCTATCTCGCCGTGACCCTCGAGGTCGACCTGCTCGAACGCATCGCTGATCTGCTGCAGCTCGGCGCTGAAAAACCACTCGCGCGCGCGGCACTCCGTCAGCACCTGCCATACGTGACTGGTGTCGAGGTTGGCCTTCTCGCTGGGGATGCCGACGGCCTCGGCCGCCTCCCACGTGGCGTCAGGATCGGGCTCGTAGCCCATCTGGGTGAATACGCGCAGCAACTGCCCGAAGCATATCACCCCGTCCGCTTCAGAGTCAACTTTGTTGAAGGCATCTGTAAGCTTCCTCATCTCGATTGCGCGGCATTTCCTCATGAAGAGCAAGAATTCGAACTCGCTCAATTCCCCACTCCCGTCAGTGTCGACCTCTTGCATTATCCTGTCCCGCTCGTCGGCGTCAAGCCGGTAGTCCAAGTACCCGAGCAGCACCGTCACCTCTCGCTTGTCCATTTCGCCAGAGCCGTCGAGGTCCAGCTTCTTGAAGAGGTCGGCGAGGTCCTGGAACTCCTGGCGCGAGAAGCCCTCCCGCATGAGAAGGATGTCGAAGGCCTTCCTGAACTCGGTCAGGCCTCAGCTGCTGTAGCACGCTTCGCTCTTGGCTTCACCAAGACGTGCCGCAGCCACGGACCAGGCGAGGGGGAGGGGGAGGGGGAGGAGAAGGAGGAGGAGGAGGAGGAGAAGGAGGAGGAGGAGGAGGGAAAGGAGGGGGAGGGGGAGGAGGAGGAGGAGGAGGAGGAGGAGGAGGAGGAGGAGGAGGAGGAGGAGGAGGAGGAGGAGGAGGAGGAGGAGGAGGAGGAGGAGGAGGAGGAGGAGGAGGGGAGGGGGGGGCGGGGGAGGAGGGAGCAGCCACGCTCAGACTTCCCAGGCCGGCGGCCGCAGGCGGAGCGGGC